TTCTCACACGTAACAGCCGGTTCTTTTTTTAATCCGAGCTGCAGGTATGCTCCAACCCCAACCCCCCCACCCCGAAACCGAAGTTTCTCAGCGGATTTGGGCTGTACTCAGCAAGCGCAGTACAGACCCGAAGTCAGAACAAAAAAAATAAATCAGAGGAAGACTGTTTTCTGAGCCGTCGGGTACCGCCGACCGGTCGGCCCCGATCGGTCCGTACAATACGGTCGGCGGTCGTCCCGACCGGTCGGCGGGGATGCAACACTGGTGGAGTGAATAAAAGCAGTTGTTTATTACTGAACTTGCACCACGCTGGTCGCTCCTTACCACAAATCCACATGTACTTCAGATTCCTGCTAACACCCATGTGTCAACTGGGTACTTTTCTTCTAAACAGTTGTTCACTTTTGGCCTCAACTCTGTTAGTGGAGTTGGCACTCACCTTTTCGTAGCACGTGCCCTCACATCGGTCTTCTGAATTTTAATGGTACACCTCTTTTTATTTTCTTTTGGAAAAGCATGTTTTCATTATATGAGCAAAAGGAGGCCGGGAATCCCTCCACATCTCATTGATCTCAACCTGGGATGCTGGGGACGCCAATACTGGGCCCAGCTTAGGCTCATACTGGAAAACGGGTCTATTGTCCGATGCTTTAAAATCCCAACATGCAATTCCAAAACGAAATATAGAAACTGGACTAACAAAAGTTACAAAACAGCAATCAGAAAGGAAGAAAGAAGTGCGAGGAATGAACCCTCGCAGGGCCCTTATCAGACATGCACATGGTCTGGGCTGAGGCCCTCAGCAAGCCCAGTACCCGCCTTAAGCGAAGGCGGGCCTGACTATTCACCAGAGGGCCAGAGGCCAAAATTTGACATTTTTTCATATGTGGGTACTCAGGCAGTTGCAGCACATCAGTTGGTTGAGAGGAAGCGTGAACCTCCCTGTGCTGCGCCGTACAGTTGAGCCCAGGCCGTGGTAGTTGCGCCTGGGCACACACACACAATGCAAGGCAGATACATCACGAATTGGCTACGGGCCTACGGAAAAGCAGCATTGTCGATGTACATACCCCGGGTCCTGTGCAACTGCAGCAAACGGCCCAAGTCTGGAAATACTGGCCGTGCCCAACTGTAAAGGGCCCAGACCCTCAACTGGACAGCTGGGCCTGGGCACAGGCACTGGGGCCTGACCGGAAGCTACTGGAAGCTTCCCAGCCAGGCCACATGCAGCCAAACAGAGGCTGCCACTTCATGCCACTATAGGGAAGGAGGCAGCCAGGGTCTGGCCCACCCAGGCATTGCGGTCACGCTGCTGCGTTGCTGCACGAGAGTCTGCGTGCTGCGTTAGCGGCCAGGGCGCGTGCGGGCGTGTGTGAGGTGAGAGGGGCGCTGCTGGGCAGCGGAGTGCAAGCAGCCATAGCCGGGCTGCAGGGCGCTAGGGGGTAAGGGGGATCGGTAGTCTTCAGGAAGGAGGTGAGTTTGGGTGGTCAGGGTCTGATGAGGGGAGACAAGATACGTACCTGGTGCATGAGGGAGGTCGGCTATGGTGTTGACGTCATGTACATTGGTCTTCAAAGTCGAAGTGAGCCTGTTGCGTGAATGCGGATGTAGTAGGATAGGCAGGTAGTGTAGGCTGGGCGCTGGGTGCTAGACAGAGAGGAGCGACATTGGATACTGTGTTGGTGTGGCCTGAGGGCTTGAACATTGGCTCATGAGTTCATTGTATTGCTCTTATTTGGATGGAATCTCGGTGCATTTGTGCTCTCTGCTTATACACGACTACTTGGACGTCTGTGCGATTTCACAACTTGGCTTTCTGTATATCGTTCTCACTCATATTCCTTGCAAAGGAAAGAAAACTTCAGTAAAGGCAGTCAAAAATTCTCAAAATTCTATTTTGTCTGGCAGCCGCAAAACAGCCAGGGTAATCTATCATTAGTTGTCTTAATTCCTTTCTTTTTTTTTCTGAACAACAGAACCTATGTTCTGTCTCCATGTCCATTTTGGGAAGCGGCAGTCCGGTTCCTTTCTTTTTTTTTTTTGGAATGGTACACCTGTTTCTCTCGTAGCGGTATTTTCATGTCACGTTTCCTATGAACACGGTTTTGCTCACATTCCAATGAGCACAGGATTGTTGTCGGTAAAAGCTCAACATTTAGGTGACTTTGCTGTCTACCACCTAGCCTGTCTGTGTCACGGACGGTTGAAGTTCCACCCCTCCCAGGTTGTTCACAATCATACGTGACTTGACTGTCGGCCACCTAGCCTGTCTGTGGCAAGGACAGCTGAAGTTCTATGCACCATGGTTTTTAAA